AACCTGTTACTCCCAGTATAATGGATACCATATTTTGGGGGTTAAATCACATCACTTGGTGTTTCAATCTCAGCTTGTGCTCTCTCAATGAAGTGTCCTGACCTGCTATGTTTAGAGCAACCTCTAAAATCTCTTGAACTCAGAATCACAGCAAGGATTCAAGCTCTCTTTGGGTAACACAATGTGTTGTGTGCTACCTCGGCACTAATTGGGATAACTAGTAAGATGCACAACTGAATGCATTTAACTGAAATGTGTCTTCCGCATTTAATCCATCCCCTCTGAATCAGAGATCAACGTCCACATCTGCGCCCGGGGAGCAGTTGTTGTTGGGGGTTAACTGCCTTGCTCAAGGGCAAAACGGCAGATCGACGTCCATGTCATGTCAACTGCGCCCAGGGAGCAGTTGTTGTTGGGGGTTAACTGCCTTGCTCAAGGGCAAAACGGCTGATTTGATTACACAAACAGAGACAGTTACATTAGACCCCCCCTTACGGTGTCAACAGATTTTCAAAATATGTTTTTAGTCTTATGTCAAGCAATGAAAATTCTAAATTTGGGGGGCCAAATAAAATAAAACCCGTGGGCCACCACTATAGTGCCTCTGAATGTTTACAGTACAGTATTTTAGTTGTTTATCCTACAGTTAAATGAAGTCAACAAAGAGGCCATGAGTAATATCATGTCTCTTGAACGTTGGGGCAAAATGTAGATTTAAAACAGACATACCCAAAAGTAATAATTTTTCATGAGATGGCCATAAACAATAACTAGTAATGCTGCATCATTCTAGAAAGGTCTGGAACTCACATTTCTCAGTATGAAAATGTATGCACTCACTAACTGTAAGTCGCTCTGGATAAGAGTGTCTGCTAAATGACTAAAATGTAAATGTAACACATCATTCCTGTCTGTGGAAAACTGTTGTTTACCCCTCCTGACCTGAAAACACTCCCAGCTCAGAGCCCACCCACTGACTTGACACCTAGCTAAGCCTCTCCTTCCTGACAGTGTTGACACGCCATGTGAGGGGGACAACTGCATGTTGTACTGTAAGTTACACATGAACATGAAGGGCAGCAGCATCAACTCCTCAATCTTGTTTGGAAAATTCAGATTATAGAATATGAATTTAAAAAACAGGCTCCCTAGCCTATGCCTAACTAGCTAGCAACCTGTATGAAAAGTTGTTCAAGCTAGCTAGGATAAATACAATTAGCTAACTAGCTGCAGTGATAACTTTTATAACGTTTAAGGAATGGGGCAGTTCCACTCCTTATGTATTTTGTATCCTTTTTGGATACATACATTTACTTCACATAGTTAGGCCTAACTAACGAATAGGCTATCATTTTGAAGTGTGGTCAGCTGTCCAAGCAGCCAAGTCACCACAGTGCTACCGTTAGCTAGCAAGGTTAGCTTGGTGTGCTTGACTAGCTAGTTAACGTTACCAACTTCTTTATTAACTATGATGTCAAATAACATGCCAAAATATTTCAACTCGGTAACGTTAGCTGTGTTTGGCTAGCAAACAATTATTTGACGGCTAGCTAGCTAACTAGCAAACTGACTCTTTGCTGTTGGAAAATGGCTGGCTAACGTTAGCCAGCTAGCTAGCTGGCTGGCTAAAGTTAGCCAGCTGTCAACGACGAGGCCTTTACGAAGCGAAGGATAGTACAATAAAGTTCACCCTGCGATTTTACAAATCAACACTTACCATGAGAGAAGTTCCCCTTCTCATTTTTACAATAACCACAGCGGTAGCCATCATCACCCCCGAAATATTCCACTATCGTACAGGAGCTACCTGCTGCCATATTCATATTCATTTTCTTCTTCTTCTTCTTCTTCTTCTTAGTGATGGGTCATTCGCGAACGAACGGCTCTTTTTGAACGGCGCTTTATGGTGAACGTCATTTGGCTCCCTGATTTGCATACTGCTGCTTTTTGAGCTCAAAACAACGTTTTTCTGCAGATAGGTTGCAAAATAAATATATAAAGAGGGTGAACAATAAATAGTTCGAAGAGCGCGTCAATCTGGTCCACGCAGTTTTTTGTTGTTGTTGTAAAAAAAACAAATTTGCAGGCCATCTAATAATTTGGCCAGGTACAATTGTATTTTAAGTGAATTTCACCATCTGACATAAAGGTAGCCTACCTTTTGGGCTTTACATTGAAGATTTGCATTTTTTTATGGTTCTAGGCAGTGGTGTACAGTACTTAATTAAAAATACTTTAAAGTACTACTTAAGTAGTTATTTGGGGTATATGTACTTTACTTTACTATTTATATTTTTGACTACTTTTACTTCACTACATTCCTAAAGAAAATAATGTACTTTTTACTCCTTACATTTTCCCTGACACCCAAAAGTACTAGTTACTTTTTGAATGCTTAACAGGACAGGACAATTGTCTAATTCACACACTTATGAAGAGAACATCCCTGGTCATCCCTACTGCCTCTGATCTGGCAGACTTACTAAACACAAATGCTTCGTTTGTAAATGATGTCTGAGTGTTGAAGTGTGCCCCTGGCTATCCATAAATTTAAAAAACAAGAAAATCGTGCCATCTGGTTTGTTTAATATAAGGAATTTGAAATTATTTATACTTTTACTTTTAATACTTAAGTATATTTTAGCGATGACTTTTACTTTTGGTACATTTAAAACCAAATACTTTTAGACTTTTACTCAAGTAGTATTTTACTATGTGACTTTCACTTTTACTTAAGTAATTTTCTTTTAAGGTGTCTTTACTTTTACTCGAGTATGACAATTAGGTACTTTTTCCACCACTGGTTCTAGGTCGATCTTTAAGTATTTTCAACAAAGAGCCATTTGGGAGCCAAATGAGCCGGCTCTTTTACGTGAACAGAGCCAAATGGGCCGGCTCACCAAAATTACTCTGAATGCCATCGCTACTAATTTATATTGGCGAAACGCAACCAACTGAAAGGTGCATACACCCCCACCTACTGTCCCTATTCATCTATTTCTCTCATCTAGCCCTTTGTTTCCGCCTACTGTTCTGGAGTGTGAATTCATTACACTTTGTGACACCAAAAGGGAAGAGAAAAAGACAGGGAAAAGGGAAGAAAAATTGCCCTACCAACTGACCCTACACCCATTAAAACCTCACCACTATTCCACTACTTGGCCCTATCTGCTCCTACACAAGACCGGCAGCATGGGAGGACGGAGTACAGTTGATAAGCATGACTATGAACACTATGAAACCAACCTTACTGAAGCACGTTATTCCTATCACTCTCTATTGGCCTCGGCCTACACACAGGGAGCCTCTTAGGATCTCTCTCCCTGGACCCATCTTCCTCTACTATTCGAATCAAATCAGAAAATCAAATCAAATTGTATTGGTTGCATACACATATTTAGCAGATGTTATTGCAGGTGTAGCGAAATACTCTCTTCACTGCCTCAGCATACGTCACCTTCTGTACTATTCTGATCCTGGCAACCTCAACCTGCCTTTCTCTCACCGGACACTTCTGATCTCCAGCACCATGGCTACCCCTACAGTTAACACACATAACTTTTCCCACTGATACTACACATTCCTTTGTCTCATGCCCTCCTGCACACTTCTCACATCAAGGAATCTCCCACCATGGCAACATGACCATAATCTAGGCACTTAAAACACCGTAATGGGTTCAGGACAAAAGCTCTCAAGGCATAACTGACACATCCTTACTTCACTTTGTTGGGTAAAGACTCTGCATCAAAACTCAACAGGACAGAAAGTGTATATTTTTCACCACGCTCTCTACCGGGTCTGCTTCACACCAAACGGATGGCATCACAGACAGAATCTTCCTCTTCTTCTATGGTATTATGGCGGTCTGCAAACAATCGTTAGAGGTGCATGCCGCCACCTACTGTACGGGTGGTAAACTATATATATTTTTTAATCCATTATAGGAAAGGGGGGAAATATATATATATTTTTTTTTATTCACTTACAAAAAACATCCCACCACTTCACTCGCATTCCAATTCAAGTCACATTTACATTTACATTTACGTCATTTAGCAGACGCTCTTATCCAGAGCGACTTACATCCCTACATAGGTTCAGGGGCCTGTGAGGGCGAAATATTATTTGACAGAATTTCTTGCAATGCCTCGGCTGTAAACTCACTGAGTCACAAAAAGCGTTCTGCTGCACTCACAATGATTCCAATTTTGTCTGATTTCTTCTCTGTTTGTGCTGTGCAGTTTACGACCATTGCAATAAATGCTAAAAAGTCCACCTTTTTTAACATGCAATATACTGTATCAGGATCCCTCAGTTGCCAAGAAACATTCACTGGTGTAGGCTCTACTACCATTGCTTCTTCAGCTCTACTCGCTCACCACCTCCAGGTAGGAAACATGCTGGTGATGGGGAATATATTATCTATTATGCGCATTTGCTTACATTATTAAAAACTATAGAGGCCTTGACAGCAGAAAGTTCTCAGAAACCTGCAACCACAATTGCCACATTGTCTTTAGACATGTCTGGTTTTATTGTCTGACACCTCACCCCCTGAAACTGAGTTCATCGGAAGACAGGATTAGGAAGGATACTTTGTTGATTGCTAGGGCAAGTTCAGGGTCAGGGGAAAACATCACGCTATGGGAAGGGAGTGCTAGTTTAAAAAGCAGAGATTGTTCTAGACACTTTACAGAACTTATGAAGAGCTATACAAATCCTGTTGACTCTGTATTAACTTCTGCCTGCAATTGCATAACTACATATATTTTACATATACTCAGAAGCCGTTGTCTGTGTCATTTCCTAAAGTTTAAAGTTTGTTTAAGAATAAGAGACTATTAGCACTGTGCAAAGAACCCTCTATATTTTGGCGAGCTTGCCAGGAGTGAGTGGCCACCCGCCGTTGGAGTGAGCGTCGACCCACTGTTACTTAAAGGTAAGCAGACACCTGTTATATCTAAAGTCTGTAAATTGAACAAAGCACTGTGTGGTTGATGACTCATTCTGACACGTAAGTGGTGCCTCACTCACAGTATGCTGTTCATTTAAGAGATGAAACCTACATTGTGGTATATATTGATTATGGGAACACTTTGCCTACCCGGTGCGCAGGGCTTCTGAGTCAAGTGAATCTACCGCCAACAGCGCAACACAAATACAAGTAAAAAAGGAGCGCAAGCCTTTATCGTTGGCTTTTCTACAGAAATGTTTGGTGATCGACTAGAAATGCCTTGATCGGCCGGTTGGTGACCACTGTTGTAGGGCTTCCCTCATGCCCCTTTTCATGACGGTGCTAGCAGCCACATGAGTGAGTGAGCGCTAGCTAGCTACTGACCGGAACATTAAGGTAGACAAGACCAACAATACAAACAAACGGACAATAAAGACCTCTTCCTGAACCTGTGTCCAATGGAGGAGCAGAAGAGGAGCTGGATGGTAAGGTAGCAGTCGAGGTAAAGCCTAAGGTGTCCGTCAGTTTGTCTACATCCAGCACCTCCTCCACTGCCTCTCTACCGACATCCGCTGCCAGCACCCCTCCACCAGAGGTACAGGTGGCTCCGGCTAAGGAACCTAATGCAAGCCTAGCCCTCAGCATGTCTCTAGCCCAGGCCAAGGAGAGAGCTCACCAGAAACGCTCATCCAAGAAGGCTCCTGCCATGGACTGGAGCAAGAAGAACAAACTCTTCAGTAACCTATAAATCACACGTTTCCTTCCGTCTTTCTCTGGCCCTCACCCTCTCTTTAGCTCTCTCGCAAGCAGACACAAACACACACAACAATGTATGATGTGAACAGTGTTAATATTTTGTGATTTCATGATTTTCATGTGCTAAGTGAAGGGTTTTCCATTTTTATTTAAAAACAAATTGAAACGCAACTCCTGAATAAGAAACAATGTAATTAACAATTTAAAGATGGAAAAACAATGTACAGTTTACATCTAGTAGAGTAGAGTGATGAAGAAATAAAAAATGATGGGATATATGGAAAATAAGAATTAACATATTGCTAGTGAGTAATCGATCTAGTGATATGGTGTGTGTTATGCATTTCACTAACTGTAAGTCGCTCTGGATAAGAGTGTCTGCTAAATGACTAAAAATTTAAAAAATGTAATTACTAAACTCTTAATGGATAAACCTGTTGGAAACTGAAACAGACCACCTAGGTGATAGTTAGAAATTCCTAGGTGTGAATATGTATATGTTGATTTGGTGATAGGATTTAGGGCAAATCCAAGTATAAAGCCAATGGTGTTGAAGGCCTGTAATTGTGTACTCCGGAGTGATAGGACGGTAAACAAGAGTTTTGTCCTAGTTGTGTGATGGATGGTAAATGAGAGGTTTGATCCTGATTATTGATTGTTGTATGTTGTATAAATTGTATATAAACTCAGCAAAAAAAGAAACATCCTCCTACTGTCAACTGCGTTTATTTTCAGCAAACTTAACGTGTAAATATTTGTATGAACATAACAAGATTCAACAACTGAGACATAAACTGAACAAGTTCCACAGACATGTCACTAACGTGAATAATGTGTCCATGAACAAAGGGGGGAGTCAAGTAACAGTCCGTATCTGGTGTGGCCACCAGCTGCATTAAGTACTGCAGTGCATCTCCTCCTCATGGACTGCACCAGATTTGCCAGTTCTTGCTGTGAGATGTTACCCCACTCTTCCACCAAGGCACCTGCAAGTTCCCTGACATTTCTGAGGGGAATGGCCCTAGCCCTCACCCTCCGATCCAACAGGTCCCAGACGTGCTCAGTGGGATTGAGTTCCGGGCTCTTCGCTGGCCATGGCAGAACACTGACATTCCTGTCTTGCAGGAAATCACGCACAGAACGAGCAGTATGGCTGGTGGCATTGTCATGCTGGAGGGTCATGTCAGGATGAGACTGCAGGAAGGGTACCACATGAGGGAGGAGGATGTCTTCCCTGTAACGCACAGCGTTGAGTTTGCCTGCAATGACAACAAGCTCAGTCCGATGATGCTGTGACACACCGCCCCAGACCATGACAGACCGTCCACCTCCAAATCGATCCCGCTCCAGAGTACAGGCCTCGGCGTAACACTCATTCCTTCGACGATAAACATGAATCCGACCATCACCCCTGGTGAGACAAAACCGCGACTCGTCAGTGAAGAGCACTTTTTGCCAGTCCTGTCTGGTCCAGCGACGGTGGGTTTGTGCCCATAGGCAACATTTTTGCCGGTGATGTCTGGTGAGGACCTGCCTCACAACAGGCCTACAAGCCCTCAGTCCAGCCTCTCTCAGCCTATTGCGGACAGTCTGAGCACTGATGGAGGGATTGTGCGTTCCTGGTGTAACTCGGGCAGTTGTTTTTGCCATCCTGTACCTGTCCCGCAGGTGTGATGTTCGGATGTACCGATGGTGTTGTTACACGTGGTCTGCCACTGCGAGGACGATCAGCTGTCCGTCCTGTCTCCCTGTAGCGCTGTCTCAGGCGTCTCACAGCGTGGACATTGCAATTTATTGCCCTGGCCACATCTGCAGTCCTCATGCCTCCTTGCAGCATGCCTAAGGCACATTCACGCAGATGAGCAGGGACCCTGGGCATCTTTCTTTTGGTGTTTTTCAGAGTCAGTAGAAAGGCCTCCTTAGTGTCCTAAGTTTTAATAGCTGTGACCTTAATTGCCTACCGTTTGTAAACTGTTGTGTCTTAACGACCGTTCCACAGCTACATGTTCATTAATTGTTTATGGTTCATTGAACAAGCATGGGAAACAGTGTTTAAACCCTTTACAATGAAGATCTGTGAAGTTATTTGGATCTTTACGAATTATCTTTGAAAGACAGGGGCCTGAAAAAGGGAAGTTTCTTTTTTTGCTGAGTTTATGTTTATGAGTGACTGACTATCGCTGATGGTTAGGCAAAATCTGGACCCCTACAAATCATCTGGGCTAGACAATCTGGACCCTTTCTTTCTAAAACTAGCCGCCGAAATTGTCGCAATCCCTATTACTAGCCTGTTCAACATCTCTTTCGTAACGTCTGAGATCCCCAGAGATTGGAAAGCTGCCGCGGTCATCCCCCTCTTCAAAAGGGGTGACACTCTAGATCCAAACTGTTACATTGCCAGCAAATTGGATGTAGTCTATCACAGTGCCATCCGTTTTGTCTCCAAAGCCCCATATACTACCCACCACTGTGACCTGTACGCTCTTGTTGGCTGGTCCTCACTACATATTCGTCGCCAAACCCACTGGCTCCAGGCCATCTATGAATCACTGCTAGGCAAATCCCCGCCTTATCTTAGCTCATTGGTCACCATAGCAACACCCACCCGTAGTATGCGCTCCAGCAGGTATATCTCACTGGTCATCCCCAAAGCCAACACCTCGTTTGGCCGCCATTCCTTCCAGTTCTCTGCTTCCAATGACTGGAACAAATTGCAAAAATCTCTGAAGCTGGAGACACTTATCTCCCTCACTAACTTTAAGCATCAGTTGTCAGAGCACCTTACCGATCACTGCACCTGTACACAGCCCATCTGAAATTTGCCCGCCCAACTACCTCATCCCTATATTGTTATTTATTTTGCTCATTTGTACCCCAGTATCTCTATTTGCACATCATCTCTTGCACATCTATCATTCCAGTGTTAATACTAATTGTAATTATTTTGCACTATAGCCTATTTATTGCCTTACCTCCATAACTTGCTACATTTGCACACACTGTATATATATTTATTTCTGTTGTATTTTTGACTTTGTTTTGTTTTACTCCATATGTAACTCTGTTGTTGTTTTTATCGCACTGCTTTGCTTTATCTTGGCCAGGTCGCAGTTGAAAATGAGAACTTGTTCTCAACTGGCTTACCTGGTTAAATAAAGGTGAAATAAAAAAATAAAAAATAAAAATGTATTTGTTTGTTGATTAATCATTAATGGCTAGATGGTGGAGTTATAATTCTGGTGTATCTCAATACGTGTTTGAACGAAGGGCATTTGCCTTGGTTGAATTGACTTTTAGTAACAACGGACACCAGGCTAGCTGTGCCGCATTAAACCTTGATTATGCTAAAACTGTTCTAGAAACTAACGATTTTAGATATAGGTTGTCGTTGTCTGTATTGAGTGGAACCTCTTTTGAAACTGTTTTAGGGCCATTTCCAAATGAGAATTTGCCTGAAGAAGTTAGAATAATAATTCAGACTAAACCTATTACTTCCCCAGTCCCTGTGTTTGTTGAGCCTTTTACCTTAGCGTGGCTGGCTAACTGCTGTAATACTGTTAAATTATCTGTTCGCTTAGACTGCATTCAGTTTAAAGCAATTTACCACCCTGTTTGTATGAGGATGGTGAGACATAAAAAAAACCATAAAGCATTATACTGGTGTATACACTGTATTTCTACATCACTGTTTTCTTACCCCAAACTATGAATAGAGGTAGTAGTAGGTAGATAGTGTTAGGCACCCACAGATATAGGAAATATATTTGCATTTTAGCCCACATTACATGTAGAACGACCCCAATAAAAACGAGCAATCATGGCAGACAACTCAACAGTTCCCTCTCACATGCCCTCGTGACCCACACCAATGAAGCCTGTTACCCCTGTTGAGTATTTAACCCAACAACATCCAGCCCTCCAGAGAGATCTCATATGGATATTTAAGAAATGGCATGAATGGACAATTAATCACGGGGAATTTCGGTTTCCCAAAGATGGGTCTTTTGACAAGAATCGTCCATGATATAGTGGAGATGAGAAAACAAGACAAGAAAAAGAAAGGGGAAAAAGCAACACTGGTATCTGTAACTGTTTTACAACTACTCCGGTCAGAGGGGACCGTGTTTTGGGCACGTTCAAGGATAACCCATCTGCACTACTCCGGTCAGAGGGGACCGTGTTTTGGGCACGTTCAAGGGTAACCCATCTGCAGACAGTGGAAAAAAGGGAAGAAGAAGAGAAGAAAGAGCCAGAGTGTCACGTTCGTTTAAAGAAGGGTCGGACCAAGGCGCAGCGTGATATGCGTACATGTTTATTAACGATAAACACACAACAAAAGAAACGAAACGTGAAGTCCAAAGGTACAACACAACAAACCTTACACGGAACAAGAACCCACAACTAAACAGTGCCAAAAGGCTGCCTAAGTATGATTCCCAATCAGAGACAACGAGCGACAGCTGCCTCTGACTGGGAACCACACCGGCCAACATAGAAATACAAATCTAGAATATTCACACCCTGACCAAACTTGCAGAGAGGGCGTGACAGTACTCCCCCCCCCCCCCCCACCCCCCCCAAAGGTGCGGACTAATCGAACTTGATGCAAAAGCAAGACCTGACCTATTTGATGAACCTCTCGAGTTGGCTGACATGTCACTTTTCTTAGATGGGTCGGCTTACATTGATCAGACGACAGGAAGGAAACATGCAGGTTTTGCTGTAACAACTATAGATAAATCACTACACATAGAGCAGTCCCTCTCTGATCATTTCTCTGCACAACAAGCATAGTTGTGAGGCTGCTGAAGGAAAAACAGTTAACATTTACTCTGACTCTGCATTCGCAATTGTTGTATGTTTATCATGGGCAGGCGTTTGGAAGGCTAGAGGTTTCACCAATGCATCAGGGACTCCTATTAAGAACCAATCATGCGTTTTGGCTCTTATTTTGGCTATGAAACGTCCTGCTAAATTGGCCATTCTTAAAGTCCAGGCCCATACGGGTCATCAACATGAGGCAAGTAAGGGAAATGACCTTGCTGACATTTCTGTGTATCTGGCTTCTGCTGTGGCCTCTCCTGTTGTTGATTTGCAACAACAACAGGCGACTGACCACATGTCTCATTCCCTTTCGGTGGCCAGAGGTTGCTCCAGGGGCCCTGATGGCCTCTGGAGACAACGCCTTTCAGGTAAACCTGTGTTGCCAACACATCTTATCCCGTCGGTTTGCCGAATTGCACATCAAATCAAATCAAATCAAATGTTATTGGCCACATGCGCCGAATACAACAGGTGCAGACATTACAGTGAAATGCTTACTTACAGCCCTTAACCAACAGTGCATTTATTTTTAATAAAACAAAAAAGTGTTGAGAAAAAAAGAGCAGAAGTCAAATAAAATAACAGTAGGGAGGCTATATATACAGGGGGGTACTGGTGCAGAGTCAATGTGCGGGGGCACCGGCTAGTTGAGGTAGTTGAAGTAATATGTACATGTGGGTAGAGTTAAAGTGACTATGCATAAATAATTAACAGAGTAGCAGCAGCGTAAAAAGATGGGGTGTTTTTTTTTTTTTTTCACAAGATTGGTTTTGCCCAAATTTAACAGAACATGTGAAACAACACATTTTTAAATCTGTCACGTGCATACAATACAACATTGCCAAGGGGACACCACTTAAACCTGGTCATTTCCCCTCACCTAGTGGCCCATTTACACACATTGCAATGGATTGTATTGATATGACTGAAAGAAAGGAGAGAAAGCGCTATTGTTTAGTAATAATTGACCGATTCACAAGATGGGTAGAGGCATTTCCTACTACCCACTGTGATGCTAAAACAGTAGCTACATTTCTGGTAAGGGAAATATTCCCTAGATTCGGAATCCCAGAAACCTTATCTGCAGACAATGCACCCATTTCACTGAAGATGTCATAGCCCAAATTGCCCTTATGCTGGGGATAGATCAGATGAAAATGCGAAGCAGCCCCAACAGAGGCACTGGGTATAGCCCTTATGGGATGTTAACAGGCCGTCCCATAAATGTCCCATCTCATAGGCCCATGACTGACAAACAGACTGACCTGACTAGACTGGAAGATGACCTGTAAGGATATATGAAGGAACTAACTTCTACTGTTAGGTGTCTGTATTCTCATTCTAGGAAAGCCCAGGAAGTGCCAGCTGGAGAGGATAAAGACGACATCCCTGTCCAAATCGGAGACTGGGTGAAACTGAAGGTTCACAAGCGAAAATGGAACCAGCCAAGATGGATGGGACCATACCAACTGATCCAGGCTACCCCGACGGCTGTCAGAGTGACCGAGAGACAGGGATGGCACCACTTGTCACACTGCCAGAAGATGGAGAAGCACCCACCAAAAGAATGAAGGATGACCAGAACCTGCCACCTGGTGAAGACTCAACAGTTCTGCATGGACCATGGAGACAGAAGGAGGGGAGGCTGTGAGCCACATCCACTGGGCCATGAATGTGCTGTGTTATGTGCAATACTCTGTGCTCTGCTTGCTTCCTCAGTCTCGGGGGTGGAAATACAGAGCAACCAATTGAAGTCAACCAATTCCTGGGTAAATATGCTGCAGGGCTTGGGTAGGAGGGCAACACCTAATGGTTCCGGAATAGTGATGTTCCCGAAACCTTCTTCAGCGGGTGAGCTGTTTGGTACTATGGGTAAGCCTCTATCAGAGGATGATGTGACCTGTGGATATCTCCACTTTATGAGACGTGATAAAACTAACAAGGAACAAGGCATATTTTTTATAACACTTACCAATAGTGCAACTATCCTAGGGAGCCTCTCTGACAATGTGCACGTCCCCCATATTAAAGCTGACCCCTGGAGGGTTTGATGGCCCTGACGAAACTGAAACAACTCATGACTACTTCCCCATGATTGGGGCTCCCTAACCACTCTAAACCAGTTCATCTGTTTGTGTGTGAAAATAATGGTTTTATGTCCTCTGTTTTGACACAGGAACATGGAGGAACTATTCTAAACAATTGGACAGTGTGGCGAGAGTGTCTGGTATGTTGTTTGAGGGTGGTGGCTGTGGATACTCATGCTCTCATCTCAAAGGCTAAGACTGCTCATCTGACTCCAGCGAGGTTGCTACACTATCAGAATGTGCTTCTAACCATGTCTCATGTGACCCTGAAAAGGTGCGCTGTGCTCAATCAGGCTACATTGTTGCCAACAAAAAAGGACGGAGAAACCCATGACTGTGCAGCTCTGGTGGAGCTTGTATCATTGTGGAAACAGCGTGGGTTCCTCACATCCTCTGGGGAAACTATTTCTCACTCGAAACATGTTGATAACCTATTGAAAGCTATTCTTCTCCCTTCTGAAAGAGCTGTATGTTAATAGACTGACCATGACTGTCCACTGTATAACCAGGCTGTTAATATACTGCTGTACACCATGTACATGTTTGGCTCATACTAACTCTTTTGATCCTGTCTCCAAGGGCAACACAATGGCTGATCTGGAAGCAAAAGCAGCAACTGTGTCTGCTGATTCCCCTGTGTTGCAGATGATTTTGGTTCCTATTATGAATCTCTTCTCCCCTACTGACATCACTGACTTGCAATCCTCTGTAGGTCCTGTCGAGTTGAGGAAGTGGAAGAGGCTGTGTACATATGACAATGTGCAGAAACTGTGGTTGGGCCCGGCTGGGCTCCCAATTCTGAGACGTTCTTGTTTTCCCTAGCTTTCTAAATTGGCACATTCAACTTTTTGTTCACCTGGTGAAGTAACGTTAGACGGGAAGACAGAGGTAGAGTATAGTAGAGATTGTAGAGGGAAACACGTATTTGAGGGGAAGAGAAATGTACTGGGTGATGGTGATTTTACCAAGAGAGGGGGGGTCAATAATAACTGAGATGGCTTCTAGAGGCCAGGATACTCCCGGAGAGGGAGGGGTAGAAGGGGAACATTTTACCAAAGCCTTAGAGGCACTAAAAAAAGCATATGACCAGCACCAAGAACCAAATAAATGGTGGGGAAAATTAGCCAAATTGGACAAAATTGGTACACGTTTTCCCTTAGATGGAAAGTTTAAAACCAGCCAAGAGTATATGGATGCAATCGTAGTTTGGAACACTGAAATCAGACAACAGTCCAGACCACAATAGCAGGCATCCTAACCACAGCATTTTATCAGCAGCGGAGACCTGCGAGGTAAAATGTAGCAGACAGTAGACAAGAATGAGGTGACAAATAAAAACTAGGCATATCTGAAGGGCACCAGGAATTAGAGGGAGCCCTTGAGGATAGACAAGAGCAAAATAAACAACTCAGGGTTGCACTTCAACAGTATCATATTATAAGGAGAAACAGGTCACATCTGGTGGGCCACCATTATACCCCTCTCTTAAAGAGGAAAAATAGCGATATGGGTTGTGAGAGGCAGAGGACAGGCACATTACGAGTCCGGATATAGTAGTACCGGACTGGATAGTGGATCAGCATGATCCAGGTAATCATAGAGATATGCGCCCAATGCAAACACACACGACCCCGGTTACATATTATCCAGAACAAATAGTACCAGGGGAGGACAACCCTATACGGATCCAAATTCAGCAACACCATCAACCACTGAGCGTGAGAGAAATGCATAGTACTATGAAAGAGGCATCGGATCCAGTAAGGTAGGGACAGGAATATATCAGTTTCCTGAGGAAACATAGTAGATTTTTCGGGTTCCATGCTGGTGATTACGATCATATTAAATGCTCGCTTTTGCCAAGGGCCATGTTGCCAGCACTCGCACAGGGATATCGAATGTCGGCTTGGTCCTATGGATGCGAAGCGTGTGACCCAGTGACAGCAAATGATGAAATTGAGGGATTCTTAACTACAGTTGGGAATGTATTGTTTCGACCAGATGTGAGTAAAATTAGTAACTATACTCAAGGTCCGAAAGAAGGAATATGCGATTATGTGGATAGGATGGATGATGTGTTACGTACTAATCTGACATTGGGGGATACGATCAAAATACAGGAATTTGTGTGTCTGCTTTGATGGTAGGATTGAAACCTGTTATCAAAACGGCTATTGCGGGGGTAGTGGACCAACATTCTCACTGGCATGAAATAGTACAGGTGGCATTGAGAGGGGAATCTAATTCCGCTCACTCCGCAGCCGTACGAGTGGTTAATGCCTCCACAGTCAAAGTCACTAACAGTGGTTTCAATGGCCCAAGTAAGACAAAGAAACAGGGAGGAAAGGGCAAATCATCAGAGCCCTGTATTAGGTGTGGGGCTGTTGGTCATTGGAAAAGGGAGTGTAAGGTGGTAATGGAGCCTACTGCACCCGTTGCATTCGGAACGGAATGCTGCGATGCAAGCGCTTGCATCTTTGTCAAAAGAACAGCAGCAAACACTCTTGAAGGCAACGGGGCAGGAAACGTTCACATAGCGGTGTATGGCCTTGGTTCGATCAATAGTGGTTCATAGAGATTACGGTTTCTATGTGAAGGGAGACGTAGGAGGCCACGTCTCACACAACTTTCTAATAGATACCGGTGCGCAAATATCACTGATTCCTTACGATGAGAAATTGGCTACATTTGCAACATGAAAAAGTATCACATTTAGCGGGGTTAGAGTCCCGCTCCTTGAAAGCGGCAGCTCTACCCTTTAGCTCAGTGAGGATATTGCTTCTGGTTGGGATATGTACATGCGGTCACTGTGGGGATGACGTCATCAATACACTTATTGATGAAGCCAGTGACTGATGTGGTGTACTCCTCAATGCCATCGGAAGAATCCCGGAACATATTCCAGTCTGTGCTAGCAAAACAGTCCTGTAGCTTAGCATCTGCGTTATCTGACCACTTCCTTATTAACTGAGTCACTGGTGCTTCCTGCTTCAGTTTTTGCTTATAAGCAGGAATCAGGAGGATACAATTATGGTCAGATTTGCATCATCCAAATGGAGGGCGTGGAGTAAAGGTGGTCTATAGTTTTTTTTCCCTCTGGTTGCACATTTAACATGCTGGTAGAAATTAGGTAGAACGGATTTAAGTTTCCCTGCATTAAAGTTCCCGGCCACTAGGAGCGCTGCCTCTGGATGAGCGTTTTCCTGTTTGCTTATGGCCTTTTACAGTTCATTGAGTGCAATCTTAGTGCCAGCATCGGTTTGTGGTGGTAAATAGACAGCTACGAAAAATATAGAAGAAAACTCTCTTGGTAAATAGTGTGGTCTAAAGCTTATCATGAGATACTCTACCTCAGGTGAGCAAAACCTCGAGACTTCCTTAGTACCACAATCTCTCCCTCAATTTCAGCAAGACAAAGGAGCTGATTGTGGATTATAGGAAACTGTAGTGGAGCGGGTCGAGAGATTCACGTTGTCCACATAACTAAGTTGTGTCTACACAATTGTGAAGGGGGCACAACAGCGCCTCTTCCCCATCAGGAGGTTGAAAAGATTTGGAGTGATTTGTCATTGACTGGCTGCATCACCATTTGGTACGGCAACTGCAAGTCACCCGACTGCAAGGCGCTACAGAGGGTGGTGAGTATGGCCCAGTACTTTACTGGGGCCAAGCTCCCTGCCATCCAGAACCTCTATACCAGGCGGTGTGAGAGGAAGGCCCAAAAAATTGTCAACGACTCCAGCCACCCAAGCCATAGACTGTTCTCTCTGCTACCGCACTGCAAGCGGTACCAGTGCACCAAGTCTAGAACCAACAGGACCCTGAACAGCTTCTGCCCCCAAGCTATAAGACTGCTAAACAAGACTGCTAAATAGTTAATCAAATGGCTACTCAGACTACCTGCATTAACCCTTTTTTAAAATAATGCAAAATATGTCATAACAGGTGTAAATATGTGGGTCATGACTGTGTTATGACCATATTATGACACGTTATGACACGTTATGTCAGCTGTTATGACATATTATGACATGGTTATGACCGTATAATAAATCGTTATGACACTGGGTGTCAAGTAAAGTGTTACTGAAGTTTCTTATCCTTCAGATAGTAATTTCCTTTTGCATTGCTCCAGACCGCGTCGCTCGCTGTGCGGAATGCAAACCGATTATCACTGTGCGGGACCATTCAGTGTTTTATTTTTTTCAACATCCACAGCATTCTCCATGTAATTCTTTCCATGCTCAGGTGACACATTCAGGCAGATCTCTATCACCTCCGTCTGTATGTTTCAGAGTCAACCAGACACACCTCCATAGAAGCAACGGTTTTCTCCAGTACAGCACACTTTTCGGTGAATACTTTGCTTTCTTTATTAATGTCTTGAGTCTCGCTGAATGCACAATTCACAGACGCCTTGAGCTCTTTGATGCATGATGCATTCTCCTTCAACATCTTCTCCAGGTTGTCAGCTCTCTCGTATATTTTAGCCGTAACTGCTTGGATGATGTTCGACTGCAGATCATAAAGTGAGAGATCATTTTGCTTCATCTTCTGGGCAGGACTGTATTAGGAGCTGTTCACTGGGGTATCTGAGTCATTCAAAACCCAATTTCCATCAGTAAGCATTTCGTCCTCAGATGAATCAGGGCCAAGGGCTAGCTGTCTTGCTCTTGAGTAATCATGTTCAGTATATAGGCTACCTTTTCTTTTCTTGACAGCATCCTTGTGGCTAGCTTTGCCTTTTTTACCTTTTCCCTCTTGTGACATGTTAGCAAGTTATCTTTCGACTAAAGGAGAAATTGTTTTACAGTCTTAGTTTTTAACCGTTTTTCACAAAGTTTGAGAGGGATAAAGTTGAAATTAGGCGGAAACTGTAAATGTTGCGACTACACTTATCACCATCTTGACATCTCGTCAGCTAGCCTCTGCTGAGTCCCCAACAACCAGATGTTCCAGTTTTCAGGGGAAATAGAAAGAGAGCATGTGACGCGGCTTCCGCTTTTGGACATTAACAAGAGATTTTAAACGTAACCCTAACCTTAACCACACTGCTAACCTCATGCCTAACCCTAACATTCAATTAATACACTTTTCTTTTATGATATAGCCAATTTTTAACAAGGCAACAGTCCATCTTAACTCCTCCTCCACATTTACTGGATTGGTTGAACAGTGCAGAAGATTACCTCCCCCGACAGTTTTTCTTTCTTCTCGTCAAGACCAGTATGTAGGGGATCTAGTTTCAGGTGTTTCTTTTATGTCTGCTACATTAGGTTGTGAGCGAGCAGAGTGAACACCATAGAAGAAGACCGAAATATGAATACAAAGATGGAAAAGGCCTATGGCTCCCCCTGTCTCCTAAAGTGGGAATGCACCACATCTGTAATCTATCTGATGCATGTGAGGACTACAATAAACATATTGCCCCATGTAGTTCAGTTGGTAGAGCATGGCGCTTGCAACGGCAGGGTTGTGGGTTCGATTCCCACGCGGGGCCAGTATGAAAGAAGAAAATATGTATGCACTAACTGTAAATCGCTCTGGATAAGAGCGTCTGCTAAATGACTAAAATTTAAATGTACAATGTGGAGATAGAAGGTTCTAAGCTAGTTTGATTAAAATCTAGAGATGTGCTTCTGCCTGTATTCCCATTAACTTTAGAGGCTCTTTGTTCAGATCATCTTCTACGAGGGCAGGAATTTTGAGGGACGCCACTATGAGTGTAGTGGTGACTGCGCTGACATGCACTCCCGCTTCTCCCGGTGTAACTCCATCCGGGTGGACAGTGGGTGCTGGGTGGCCTATGAGAAGCCTAAGTATTCTGGGTACCAGTACATGCTGACAAGAGGGAAGTACCCCGACCACCACCGCTGGTCCGGCTTCAACGACTGCATACGCTCCTGTCGCATCATCCCTGCTGTGAGAATGACTCTACTTTTGTTTGAGGTTCTAAATCAAGTGATTAATGAAGTTGAAGTTCAATTCTTCCATTTGGATATGTACAGTAACATAGAAATATATAAATACACTACAGTATGTATGAGAATATTCTAAAATGGAACCTGAAAACTGCTTATTTGAACAAAGATGATTATACACCAAAGCCATCATTCAGAATGATTTAAATATGGCTGTGAGAGTAGGACAGGTGAGGGGCAGATGTTTGTGAGAGTGAGTGAAGTTCAGTTTTGCAACTAACCTTTTTCAAACCTGTTCCGAGCCATGTTTTTCTCAGGACCAAACCAGTGTGCAACTCTATTGTCCGGGCCTAGAAAAGAGTCTAACCGGATTTGCATGACAATGGAATTCAATTTAAAGGGAGCATGAGGTTGACATGTGCTTAGTGTCATGGGGGCAGATATATAGAACAGTTTGTGCTGACACGATAACTCACCTGATTTTAATAACAATGCTCTGTCCTTTTTTTCTGACACATAAAAGGCTCTGGGATGAGGACAGGCTTGTCCTGTTGACCTTCACAGTCATGATGGTTAAGGTAAGCAGAACATATCATTGTCCTAAAAAAAAACATTACAGACCTTCTTTTCCAGTCTATTGCAATTCCATTTCAGATTTAGTCTTAAGGGTTTTGTTTGAAATCATAATTGTAGTATGATCCCAGGACAATTGTAGCCTGGTTCCAGATCTGATTGCCCTGTATAGCCAACTAGCGGTTGTTTGGCATGACATTGACAATGACCATGACAATAGGTGTTAGTGAGACAGCACATACAGATCTGGGACCAGGCTAGGAAAATAGTACTTGAGGGGTTCTCCTATCCTTTGTGCCATTCACAAATATACTTGCAAAGTCAATTTCATGTTTAAATCCAAATAAAGAGGTGTTTTTCACCCAGAAAGAAGGTTCTAAGCTAGTTTGATTAAAATGTAGAGATGTGCTTCTGCCTGTATTCCCATTAACTTTAGCGGCTCTTTGTTCAGATCATCTTCTACGAGGGCAGGAATTTTGAGGGACGCCACTATGAGTGCAGTGGTGACTGCGCTGACATGCACTCCCACTTCTCCCGGTGTAACTCCATCCGGGTGGACAGTGGGTGCTGGGTGGCCTATGAGAAGCCTAAGTATTCTGGGTACCAGTACATGCTGACAAGGGGGAAGTACCCCGACCACCACCGCTGGTCCGGCTTCAACGACTGCATACGCTCCTGTCGCATCATCCCTGCTGTGAGAATGACTTTATCTTGACCGACATGACAATAGCACAAACAAATGCTCTTGACAGCTGGCACAAGTTAGACATGGGTGTATAGGCAATTGACTTGACGCAAATTATATTATTTGGAAATGTTTGTATGAGGTATATACAATTGAAATGGACCAAAACAACAGTTTTGTTTGAATCAATACAGGCTTAATTCAGCTGTCAGATTGTTGTCAGATTCAGATTCAAGATTCCCATAAATTTACATCAGCTGTCATGACTGATTAGAACACCTTACATAATTGTCATGACAATGTTTTGTGTAGCCAGAGGGCCTTCATGCTGAGTGTTCAGACCTAAAAGTCTGATATAGAAAACCATTATTTAAGTTCTGTAAAGTGAATCCATTTTCTCCATGCGCAGTATAATGGAAACTACAGGATGAAGATCTTTGAGAGATCAGACTTTGGGGGCAAGATGATGGAGCTGAGCGATGACTGTCCCAACCTGCAGGACCGCTTCCACCTGAGAGACATCTCATCCTGCAACGTCATGGAGGGCTACTGGATCCTTCATGAGCACCCCAACTACCGGGGCCGTCAGTACTTCCTGCGCCCTGGCGAGTACAACAAGCACAGCGACTGGGGCAGCATGAACTCCACCATCGGCTCAGTGCGGCGCGTGACAGAGCTGAAGCAAACCAACCAATAAAGCCAAGTCTCTAGATCTCTCTCTAGCCAGGCTAGATCTCTCTAGCTCTTTCTAGATCCCTATAACAGCCTGCAGAAGTCTATACATACTGTACAGGGGATGACAACATGAGTCAATCTCAACATATGGTTGGTATCAGGGAATAAGGAGATTGTCCTTTAATAATTAGACCAATTGATGAGAATATGGCTGGGCTGAAGTAAGAAAGCAGTGGCTTGGAATTCTGGTGTAGTTGAACAAAGAGCATTTAGAAGGCTTTATGCAGACAGAAGTGCATTTATGCACACCCTCCACTCACATTGAATAATAAACCAGTGGACGGTAGGATAGAACAGTATAATCAATTGTGTCCCTAATTCAGCGGCAAAGACAGTTGCAACTTCTTCCAACTGAGGAGCCTGCTTAAATTGTTGTGGTGTTTAAACATTATTCTGACCTCCTAAATCGAAACACATGAATTTGTGTCTAAGGCAAAGTCACTTTGTTAGCTTGTCAGTGTAACACTTGTCGTGGAAATTACCACCAGGGACTCAAAGTCAAACTTTAATGAATCATTCTTTATTATCAGCAAGCTGGAGAGGTCACAGTCAAACTTAGATGCATAAAATACCGGTCTGAAGTGAGCTCTCTTTGGGGCAGTCCCGTTAGTTGTCTTATATACTGCTTACACAGACAAGCTAAGTAGGCATGGTTCATAGGGTTGGTTCCTGCATGTGTCTGGCACCAAATCCTATCTTGACTTATAGAACATATTCACGCCGTTCTGCAAAAAAATAATCTTAACAACTGTGGCAATGTATTTGGCGAGATCAGTCATATTAGAAGAGTGATCTGGGACAAAAGTACAACATTCATCGCCAATGATTGCACGAGTGCCCCCTTGACCTGCCAAAAGATAGTCAAGAGCCTCTCTGTTTTGCAGAGCCAATTTACACAGTTATTTTAGTTCCCCATTCAATTGTTCCAGGGTATTTAGAGTAGCATTGCCAATTTTCTCTACGTGTCTAGAAATGTCACGAATTTGGTCTAGGGCATATGCAACTCCATACCCAGGGAAAAACACACCAAAGAACCTGGAGGCAGGTGCCTGAGTGTGAGTGAAGTCAGCTAGAGACCTCTTATCTCTCCTCATTCCAGGATGTTTGTAGTCTCTCAAACAGAGCCTTTGGATCTTCTCATTGTTTGGAACGGTTCTCATGGCTGTCACCACAAACCCAACAGTGCAAGCATTTGATCCATTAAGATTCATAGTACATTGTCTTAAAAGGCATTTTTCCTGCCAATGCTATAGTAAAGTTCACCACCTTAACTGGACCCAACCCACACACCCAACAGTCCTTTTCCTTGGATATCAGGTCAGCAATCATTTCTGCTCTAGATAAGAACAAATTGTCCTCATGGTTGTAAGGGCCCAGCAGGGCTCTCCTTCCACAATGACTTCTGGGCCATTCCAGGCCTGCGTTGGTCCCTTTGGCTCAGGACTCCTTCTACGATTACAATCTTTTGGGTCACTACTCCAGGCCTGCGTTGGTCTCTTTGGCTCGAGACTTATCTCACCCTTATAGAAACATTCTGTCTCAGAGACAGGCCCCCAAATACATTTACACATAAATCATTCCATCTAACCCATAACACATTAATCGCTCCACTTAGTTATAAACATACTAAAAACTTGCTCAAGTCAATTAAGTAACAAAAAAAATAGTCAGTTTCCAACAATGCCTCATCTGGAACAATGATCACTCACATGATCCACACGACCTAGAAACTATTTTGACTTTCACAGGGAAGAGAGAGAACATGTTATAACCGTTTCATACCAACCTTGATAAGAATGAGATTGGGGCAAGGTTAGCCCAAGCTACAATCTAGTGGCTCTCCTCACATTTTAGGGTCATCGCTCTGTCTCTAGAAGCCTCGCCTTTCCAAATCATAATTAGAACTATTGATAAATTATCCAACCCAAATTTAGAATGACAGTCCTTAGTGATTCACGTTGGTTCTATCACTCTAATTTAAGACCCGCAATTTAGCACACACTGACACTGGCAGAACGTACATTTACATTGACATACAGTATATTCATCTTATATTTCTAGCATTAACTTTTTTCATTAACTTTTTTCATCATGCATTCTTAATCTAAATTACTAAACATTTCGCAGTGTGCAGATCTCCACAATCAACCTGATACCCCAAATAAACAATTTTGGATAAGCCTAAATCAATTACGGGCACGGTTGACCAACCCCCTCCCTCCCGGCACTCATTCTTCTGGCATTTCTTCATTTTCTTCTTCAGATAGCTTTATAGTTCGTCCTCCCAATGGCACACATGTTCAAAGTGGATGGCACTTGATAATGTCCCGATTCCAATATCTGGGGAATAATCTGATTTTCCCAAGCAGACGAATCTCTCACGGCCAATTATGTCTTGTCCATTTTCCTACCAGTACACCAGCAGCATGAGAGAAGTTTGGACAGGATCTATCTCCATGCTCACTCCACTTGGACTCATGTCACACTCCTGAGAGAAAAGGCATGAGAGAAAAGGCAGTTGATAGCTTTGACTGGATGCTGTTCACAGGTTGCTGGCTCGGACTCAGGTCTCACGGTAGAAGTGGTGAAGGACCATAGTGAACGCCGGTTAGAGGGGGTGAGGCTCACACTGTTCTCGGTCGAATTTACCCTTCCCATTACTTCTGTGTGGGTGCTGGTGTGTGTGGTAAAACGTAGGGTGAAAAAAACCCAAAATGGCCTTACTTAATTTGGGAACTCCCTTAACAGCCGGATCCGGGTACCTTTATACTGTATAGTATACTGTCTCAATAACTGCTCTCCTAAGGCACCTGCCTCAGGAAGCCTTTCAAAGGGAGAGATACAGAGTCATTGGTAAACTTGGTAGTGGACATTCATCAGTCCTGGAATATTTTTTTTTTACTTTGTTTTCAATATGCTACAGCTTAGTCAGTCCTAAGAATTCTTAATCTTAATCGATCTTACTGCATTTTAGGCAGGAAGTCTTGATAAAACCATGAGTATACAGAATCACACATCAGATGATAGTGTCCCGTTAAGCAGAATAGGCACTAAAGTAAACAATTTAGGCACCTTCTAAAGTAAACTTTCTTGTAATCTTATCATTTTGACCTGTTGCATTGACATATGATCTGTACTGATGGGCTCCAGACTATACATTATTCCTCCAGCAGTTGATGTTTGAAGTGTGTGACAATTCAATGTTGGTGTTTTTGATGTTCACTACAAGTAAGTTAGAGCAATCACATTACAGATCAACAAATAAACCAAATAAATCTGTAAATCAAGGCGTCCAAAATAAAACATGTGTACCATGATTGTGAAACAAACATGATACAGAACATCAATTACTGAACTGTACATCATATTTATTTTTCAAAGCATCTGTTGCATGAGGAGACAAAGATAATAACACAAACAGGAAGATGTTCTGAGGATCTGTGTGGACACCAAACGTGACCATGAACATAAAAAACAGAAGGGGATAAAAGTTTATATTTAAAAAAATTGGAAGTCACAAAAATATATTAGGGCCAGTTACCAATCATGATTACAAAACATTTTACCATACAAACAATTATTTGTGTAGGAGGGGCACACGTTGTACAAAACATCCAATCTCTGTGCTGTCACTATATAAAACATTCTGTTGAGACCTTGTGCATCACCCACTACAGTGCAAGGGATTGTGATCATCAGACACTCACAATGACGTTTGGCCTCCAGGATCATATATATACACTACCAGTCAAAACTTTGGACACACCTACTCATTCAAGGGTTTTTCTTTATTTTTTAATATTTTTACATTGTAGAATAATAGCGAAGACATCAAAACTATGAAATAACACATATGGAATCATGTAGTAAACAAAAAAGTGTTAAACAAATCAAAGTATATTTTATATTTGAGAATCTTCAAATAGCCACCCTTTGCCTTGATGACAACTTTGCACACTGTTGGCATTCTCTCAACCAGCTTCATGAGGAATGATTTTCCAACAGTTTTTAAGGAGTTCCCACATATGCTGAGCACTTGTTGGCTGCTTTTCCTTCACTCTGCGGTCCGACTCATCTCTAATAATCTCAATTGGGTTGAGGTCGGGGGATTGTGGAGGCCAGGTCACCTAATTCAGCACTCCATCACTCTCCTTCTTGGTAAAATAGCCCTTACACAGCCTGGAGGTGTGTTGGGTCATTGTCCTGTTGAAAAACAAATGATAGTCCCACTAAGCCCAAACCAGATCGGATGGCGTATCACTGTAGAATGCTGTGGTAGCCATGCTGGTTAAGTGTGCCTTGAATTCTAAATAAATCACAGACAATGTCACCAGCAAAGCACCCCCACACCATAACACCTCCTCCTCCATGCTTTACAGTGGGAAATACACATGCGGAGATCATTCGTTCACTCACACCGCGTCTCACAAAGACACAGCGGTTGGAATCCAACATCTCCAATTTGGACTCCAGACCAAAGGACACATTTCCACCGGTCTAATGTCCATTGCTCGTGTTTCTTGGCCCAAACTGCAATTTCTGAGGCTGGTAACTCTAATGAACTTATCCTCTGCAGCACAGTTCATTCTGGGTCTTCCATTCCTGTCGCGGTCCTCATGAGAGCCAGTTTCATCATAGTGCTTGATGGTTTTTGCGACTGCACTTGAAGAAACTTTCAAAGTTCTTAAAATGTTCCGTTTTGACTGACCTTCATGTCTTAAAGTAATGATGGACTGTCGTTTCTCTTTGCTTATTTGAGGTGTTCTTGCCATAATATGGACTTGGTCTTTTACCAAATAGGGCTATCTTCTGTATACCCCCCTGCCTTGTCACAACACAATTGATTGGCTCAAACGCATTAAGAAGGAAAGAAATTCCACAAATTAACAAGGCACACCTGTTAATTGAAATTCATTCTAGGTGACTACCTCATGAAGCTGGTTGAGAGAATGCGAAGAGTTT